ATAAAATTGGAATAATCTCTACAAGAGATTTTTAATTCCATGTATCCCCTATTCCCCCTAAAGAAATAAAGTGCGAGAGAAAAATATAGATCCGAAAGTAAGTTGGAAGAGCAGTCGCCCGGCAAGCGAAAGGTCTCGGGTTCGATTCCCGATTCTGCGACTTTCGGATCTATATTTTTCTCTCGCACTTTATTTCTTTAGGGGGAATAGGGGATACATGGAATTAAAAATCTCTTGTAGAGATTATTCCAATTTTATATCTTGGCCGTGTCCAAGTAAAAATTTGGTGCTTTGTGCACAGGTATTTAATTCTAACGAAAAAATTTAGTTTCGTTTAGAATAACGCACTGTCATCCGCGATTTGGCTCTTATTGCCTATCTTATATATGTTAAATTTATATTTATATATTACAGAGCCTAGTTAAACTCTTAATATATGTATTCATATTTCTAGTAAATTTTTATCGCTTACTGCTTAATTCTACTATTTAAGTATTTTTATGCGCTATGCTTCTAAACCAAAATTATCTGAAAATTATTTTAGATTATTTAGTAAAGATAATACTTTTTTTTAATCTAAAATGCAGATATAGATGATACATTTTTTATGATACAAAGATAAGATGATGCCAAAGTTTCATCTAGATAATCATCTGTATCATTTTATTAGATAACAGCAAACACTAGATATCGAATAATAAAATAAATACAATTTTTTAATATTCTTGCGTTTAATTAAATTCCCTCGTTCTGTTTAAATTTTTTTAATTGTATAATTATATATTTAATGAGACATATGGGTATTCTAACGTCAGTGGTCTGGAACATTAAACGCGTTAATTAACACGCAATATATTGTTTCGTTTTTGTAATAATTTATATTAATTTATCGGGTGTAATTACACAAATCTGATTCTTTTTCTGTTTCCTCCAAGCTTGTTGCCTCATTTACCTATCGATGTGCGAAAAAAGATAAAAACTACGGAAACGTCAGTTTTTCAACATTTTGACATGTCGCCTTTGAATTTTATTCACGAATCAAGCACGTAGATACTTTATATTTTTATTGCAAATATTCGATATTTAATATAAATTTTTGATAAATAAAATAGGAAAATTAGAGATATTAAATTATCAATTTTGAATCTGCTTAAAAAATCAAGACTTGTTTAAAAAATCTAATAAGAGTATGTTTAAAATTGCGATTTAACAAAAAATGGACAGAAATTCTTAAAAAGCTTTAAAATTCTTATATAAATATGAAATTAAAATTTCTTATGATATATGAAAAGAATTTACATATCAATTCTTTTTTACCTTTTTCAAAAAGCAAGGATTAATTAAAAAATATAACGAAAGGCTAAAATTATGATTTAACAAAAGAAAACAATCAAAAATTCTTAATTAGAGTTCTTATATATGTAAATTCAAGGTTGGATAAGTTAATGAATTTTTTAAAACTATTTATGTAAAGTTAAAGTTAATTGCTTATAAAATTAATTTAGTTAAGTTGAAAGTGACATGAGCAAACAATTAACTTAGTTAAAGTTATGTTAAGATTAAATTAAATAAAGTCAAATTAATAGTTAATTTTTAAAAACATTATTTATATTAAAGTAGAATTTTGTTTATTAATTCTTTTAAAATGTATAATAACAAATAGAAAATTTTGATTTTTATATAGAAATATATTTTTTGGCAATTACAATTGATGACAAAATAAACATAAAAATTAATCATATTTTAATTTAAAAATAATACGTTTATAACTTATAAAAAGAAATAATAGTATTTAGAGAAAAAAAATTTAACTTAGGAAAAAGTTAATAAGTTTAAGATCAAAAATAACTAATTGAAGTTCAAAATTAATACATTTTAAATTAACGAAGCTAAGTTAAAAGTTATTATCTTTTTACTAATTAAATAGTTATTACCTAACTCTGTGTAAATTTAAAATTAAAAAAAAAAATATATATATATATATTTATAGTATATTAGTATATAAAACAAACGTTTACGTATATCGATTCCTCTTAATCCTTTTATCCATTTATCTTGTCTCCTTTATGAGTAGCAAAAGCTAAAACAATTTATTCCAATCCGTACGGATAATCCTGTTTGCGAGCGGCGTTTTATAGAACAAGGTAAAGAAAGAGGATACGAGCTTGAGGGCGGATTAATAGTTGGAAAACGAAAACGGAATTAATGGAAAAGTCGGTAAACGTTGCTAAGAGAAATCGAAGCGAAGCACCCCATTTCACGTGGTAACCCCCGGCGTCGATAAAACTCGTCGTGACATTAAAATACCAAGGGTAAACGTCATTCTCTCGCGTTCAAGAGCGAATATAAAATTGTTGCGCGAAATGCAACAGTTTTTTTTCTATTGACATTATATATGCATCTGTCAATTGTATCGCGCGCTTTTACGTAATGACGTAATTTGATGATGCGGACAATCGAATCGGATGAATTTGTCGCAATTCACAGTGGAAAAAGTCGGTTTGCGCATTAACTTATTTACAATAATGTTAATAATCGCTAGATATTAGAATTTGTTTTGATAAATTATATAATTAATCTTTCACAATTTTTATTACTAATATTTTTAATATTGATCATTTTAATGTCAAGTTTACGAAAAGATTTAAAATTTTTTAGATTTTCCGAAAAACATTTAAAAATATTTCTATCTATCTATTGCATATAACTCAATACAAAAAAAATAAATAAAATTCTTTATATTGTTAGATAGTATACACTTTTTTAATTAAAGTTATTAAACTTTATTTTGCTAAATTATATAATATTTTAATATTAATAATATTAACATATAATATTAATAATTTTTCGCAATTTTATTATTAACCTTAATAATATTAATAATAAAAAATTGTTAAAAAAATTAAAAATTCTGTAGATTTAACGAACAAAATTTATACAAATTCTGCAACAATAATAATATTACTAATATTCTTATCTACTGTATGAAATTGAATAATTAAAAATAGACTTCCTGAAGAATTAAAAAATTTGTTATATTGCTAGATATATGATTTGTTTATTTTTTTTACATAATATTCGAATATTTGAAGTTCATAGAACGTTCGAAGAACGGTACTTGTGGAAGGTTCAGGGCTAAACAAGGTTGGTTACTTCGGTGCGATCGAATCAATACATATACAGGATGTAGGCGTTAAGAGTGTGCTCTTTTATGATCTCTGATCAAGTTTCATAATAACTTCAAAGACTTCCTTTTCTATAAAATCATTTTTAAATCAAGTTTTGAATTTTTAAAAAGATTAAAAATTGATAATTATTTTTAAATCAAGTTTTGATTTAAAAAAAAAATAAAAATTGATAATTTAAAGAAATAAAATCTCCAATTTTTTCTATTTTATTTTCCAAATTTGTATCATATTAAATATATATTTTTTTAAAATCAAGTTACAGTTAATTTCATATACGCGTAATTTAATAAGAGACAATCACGTAACATTATAATTTTCATAGAACGTAAAATATCACCCCCCAGATTTATCAAGGATGTAATAATAAATGTAAATTAATCGGACTGTCGCTTTAAAATATGATCGTCGATCGAGTCCGTAATTAGATCCTTGTCAGATGAAAATCGCAGTCGATCACTAATTATCGGTTACCCCTCATCTTTGAATTTTTCGCGATAAATTTATTCAGGTTGAATTATGACAGGATAGAATGTATAAATTTAACTCTGATCTTTAGCGATAAATTTTAAATCTTTAATCTTTTTTTCAAATGTGTTCAATGATTGATAAAAATTTTTCTCGATACATTTATTATATATAAATCAAACTTTTTAAATTTATATAAATGGATTAAAATTATATTATATATATATAATAGAATTATTAGAATTAAAATCATATAAATCAAACTTTTTACTAAAATTTTATTGATGTAATATGCTTTAAAAAAAGATTTACTATAATTAATTATTTCACAATATTTCTTTATCTTTCTTAAATATATTCAATAATCAATCATTAATTAACAAAAAGTTTTTAATATATACATATATATTATTATTATAAACTTTTATTAAATTTTTTTTAATAATGTATAGAGAAAAAAATTTATTCTCCAAAAATACGTCAATAATATTGTAATTAAAATTTGTAAAAATTATATTCATAAAAATATAAGATTTATATTCTTTAGGATTGATTACTTAAAATAATATATTTCTCTCTGTCTCTTTATCTCATTGTCTTCAACAATGATTATTAAAATAATTGCCTCGATATTGTCTTATTATATTTATATTAAATTAATATAAACTAAAATAAATTTACAACAAAATAAACATTAAAATAAATTAATATCAATTAAACTTTTACTAAATTGATATAATAGACAATCTTAATAAAAATATTTACTTTTTCGAAAAATATAATTTTGCAAAATATCATAAAAAAATGTAAGGATTCATGGCCTCGGCTAAAATGGCGGAGAGGGAGAAGATTGCCCGATAATCACTTTACAAAGTCTCAGCTAGGTACATTTATTATCTTAGACACGCTTTCCGCATGCGATATATACAATAACAGGTTTACCTGTCCGGAGACTTTTGCAACACTTTTGTACACCTCGCGAGACAGAAAAGGAGAGTAGTCCCGACCACGCCTGGCCATCATGCGAGCGACCTTGAAGGATCATCACGTCCTCTGCTCCCCCTACCCTCAGTGTTAACGCACGGTCGCGCAACAAAGCTCGCATTGGTCGGCCGCGGATCGGTATGAAAGAAAAAAAGAAGGAAAAAAAAGAAACGGGAAAAGAGAAGAAATCGTGTGACCTAAGAACGCGCGCGTTCGTTTTCCGCTCCCGAGAGACGAGGAGGCGACGCCCTCCCCGAAGGTGCGCTTAAGAAAGAGGTGCAAAAGGTGGAGGGAGATGGCTTTCAGGGGTTCCTTACTCCTATATAAGACGCATACGTCGTATTTTGGAGTATTATCGTACTTCTGACTGCAAACCAGACAGACCCACGAAGCTCCTCAAGATGTTCAAGTTGGTAAGTCGATTGATCGAGATTTTTTTTCGGGAGGGTGGAAAACGCGAGAGTAATCTCGCGGAGATTCCATTTATATCCCTTGTTTAGGATTTGCATGTTTTTAATTTTTATTCGATATATTTATAATCCGTTCTTATATATTTAAGATAAGTCTTAAGTGCATATAGTATCTGAAAATAGTACTTAGACAATCTTAAATACAAGATCGAATTATAAATACCTATAAGTATTTTGAAAAACAAGAGTAGTAATTTTTTAAGCACATTCAAATCTGGATCAGCTATGCTTGAATACTTATGAGTACTTTTGAATACTTATAAGATGTGTATATAATATGTGTTTGAGGGAGGGTTGTAAGTTAGGGGATGTTATGTGAAATATGCATGTGTAAGTGTGTAACAAGTATCATAAAAATACTTATTTATCTTAGTGTTTGAGTACTTGTATAAAATTTGATTCTCTACTAGAAAGTACTTATAAGTAGTAATAGTACTTATAAGTACTTCTAATAATACTTATAAAAGAAGTACTTATAGTAGAAAGTACTTATAAGTAGAAACTACTTATAAGTACTCATAAGTAATAATAGTACTTATAACTACTTCTAATAGTACTTATAAATACCTATTTCGAATCTTGTACTCGATCTAAAATACATAATTGTTTTAGATTCGAGTATTTTGTTAGAGCGCAATATATAAAATACAGAGTACAATATGTAAAATATTATTTTTTACGAGCATTATTCGAATCTTAAAAAATGAAACTTGATTGTTGGATTCGAATTAAATACATATTGAATTTAATCTCATCTCTATACATATATTCTTGAATATTGTATAATTGTATATTTAATGTAATTGTTTACTTGTCTTAAAAATTTTTAGCTTATAATTTAAGTACTGCTTAAAAAATTCAATTCTCTACGATAGAAAGTACTTGTAAGTACTATTTCGAACTTTACGGGTACTCAATCTAAAATTCGAACTATTCTAGATTCAAGTACTTCGCAGAAGAGTACAATACATATGAAATATATTTGTTTACTTGTGTTTAAATTTTGTAGCTTAGAGTTTGAATACAACTTGAAAAAATTCAATTTTCTATAAGATAGAAAGTACTCATAAGAACTATTTCGAACTTTGCGGGTACTCAATCTAAAATTCGAACTATTCTAGATTTAAGTACTTCGCAAAAGAGTACAATACATATGAAATATATTGGTTTACTCGTGTTTAAATTTTGTAGCTTAGAGTTTGAATACTACTTGAAAAAATTCGATTTTTTATAAGATAGAAAGTACTCATAAGAACTATTTCGAACTTTGCGGGTACTCAATCTAAAATTTGAACTATTCTAGATTCAAGTACTTCGCAAAAGAGTACAATACATATGAAATATATTGGTTTACTCGTGTTTAAATTTTGTAGCTTAGAGTTTGAATACTACTTGAAAAAATTCGATTTTCTATAAGATAGAAAGTACTCATAAGAACTATTTCGAACTTTGCGGGTACTCAATCTAAAATTTGAACTATTCTAGATTCAAGTACTTCGCAGAAGAGTACAATACATTGAAATATTATTCTTTATAAGTATTATTTGAATTCTAGAAAGTAAATCTTCATTAAATTCGATTTTTTAGCACATATTAAACACACTGTCCCACCTCTATAAATATATTTCTCACAGAACAAAGGATATTAAGATTCTGTATCGTCCTTGTATCGTGATATAAAATCTAAATATCCTTCGTGCAGTTAAAATTACATAATTACCACCGTAAAAATAGCGTTGACATTACACCTCGGCGTCTTACTGTTGCAGTTGTGCTTATTCGCCATTCTGGCATTTGCCGCGGCTGCGCCCGCGCCCGCCCCCGCTCCAGCCCCCGGTGCGATCATCGCCGGCGCCCCCCTCGTGACATCCTACAGCGCCCCGATCGTTTCCGCGCCTTTGACTTACAGCAGTTACGGCCTCCCGGCGTACTCGGCGTACTCGGCAATCCCGGCCCTGCCGTACGCATACAAGAGCTACGCGGCCTTGCCGTACGTCTTGTAAGAGGAGAGTCGTAATAGCGGAGGCCTAATCGGAGGCAACCAGGCAAACGCAGAGACCAAGGACACCGATCTCTCTTCTCCACGGATAATTTTCCATAGACGACGAGTTAATCGAAAAAAAAACGAAGAAAAAAAAATCGCCCGTCCAATCTCTTGGAAAAATTGTTTTCTCCCTTCCCCCCCCCCCCTACCTTCTCATTTTCTCTTCATCCCCCACTTCCCCACCGTTCGGATAATTTCGCATTCGCATCCAGGATTCAGAATCAATAAAATCGCTTAAAAGCAATTCTATGTTATATATTTCTTTTTCTTCTCACAATCAATCCCTAACAGCACACATATCCCGAAGACGTTCAGAAAACATCCTTATTTAAGGGAAATAGATCGAGATTCCGTTTTTTATGTGTGTTCAGCATCCAGATTCGGATTGGAATCGACAGATTTTTGAGTTTGCGTATACGGGCTTTTACAGGCGCAGATTTGTTTTTATATCAAATTTAAATAAAATGAAATATTGTTTTTTTTTCTTTATATAAAATTTAAATGAAATGAAATATTGTTTCTTTATATAAAAATTGAATGAAATGAAATATTTGTGTTTCATCTGCAGGCATCTCGAAAACGCAGATATATATGCTATTCTTCCATTCAATCGCGTTTCAGTCAACGTAACATTGAGATGTGTAGGTTGAACATACAATGCGTATATATACGTATCTTGAGAAAATCATCGATGACGTGCAAGTCAACGCATAATAAACGAACGCGTTACATCAATATGTGTATTAATTCCAGCAGCCCTTCAAGATAACTCCCACGTGGGATAAAGCCAGATAGACCGGAATAAAATCATCGAGTATTCTCTCTGGAGTATTTTGGACTATATCGAGTGTAAACGTGACACAGACCCGATGATGAATCAATAAATCCAGATTAATTCTGTTTTATCGATCAAAAAGTGTTAGATTCGATAAAAATCTATTTATTGGCTATACAGATTGTTTATTACCTGAAATTATAAGCTAGCGCGGTTTGGTAATATTAATACTTTAATTGTGGAAAAAGATTTTTCAATCTGTATAGCTAATCAAAATATAAATTTAAAAAATCAATTTCGAATTTAACCTCACTTTTAGATCGATAAAACAGAACTAATCCGGCATCTCCTTAATGATGCAACTTTTATTGAGTTACATTTGCTTAGATGTATCTATATATATATATATATATATATATATATATATATATATATATATATATATATATCGAGAAGAGACAAATTATATTATATCTCTCTATTCAAGCTGCGTCCTCTCGTTTTCGAGTGCATACTAATGCGGAGGAACTCGATCAAGGATGCACAAGGATATATCTTGCCGAAATCTCGTTTACGTAACAGGACGCACCTCGTAGATTTGTAATCAAGCGTTTCGTAATTTAATAATTTTGTAAAATATAGAAATTTCTATAGAAAATAAAATTTTCAAAGCCGGAATTTTTAATTACTATTATACATTATTCGAATTATTTATATTATTATATATTTATAATTTTATCGGAATTTTAAATCTTATCTTAAAGAAATATTAACTAGCTATTGTAGAATGGAGCAAAAATATACTCTATTTAGAAAATTTATTTTTAAAATAAAATTTTTTTATTAATAAAAAATTAATAATAGTTTGTAATAATTAATTTAATAATTATTTTTAATTAATAAATTTTTTTATTAGAAGAAAAGACCATCATTATAATTAGTGCAATGTAATTCCTCTCTTATGACCAGGGTTGGGTAATAACTAGTTAATTAATTAAAAGTTAAGAAAAATAAAAACTTTTAACTTAGCTTATAGTTAATTTAAAATGTATTAATTTTTAATTTCAATTAGTTATTTTTGATCTTAAACCCAGCTAACTATTTCTGCGGAGGCAAATGTAAGCAACTTTTGTTTGTTAAATGGCCGCAGATGAGAAACATATATTTTGTCATTGCAAACACTGTGAGCATAAATTCAATAAATATTTCTCAACATCATTTCGCAGAGTGTATTAACAAAGTGGCAATCAGTAATAAGCAGATCTGCTGAAATCATTGATAAAAGATTGACGCCAGAAACGCAGCAGATTTTATGCAGATCAGTCGAAACGTTAAATCGATAACAAAAAGCACACAAATATGCCAAAAGTAGTTTAAAAAATTATATATATTTTTTTCAAAATATGATTTGACTAACAAAAATATACATTTGTACATTATAATAACTTATTTTTACTTTTTTTAAATTATTATAAATTATTAAATGTTTTTTTATTTGCTTTTTCTTTTTTTACTTAATTATTTTTCTTCGATTTGCTGAACATTTGGCGCAAATCTGTTTTCAATTTGCCGTTGATAAATTTGTTCTCAGTTTGTTGCGTCAATCACTCGTCGCACTGTTAGTGACAGATCTGCTCTGGCATTACACCCAACTTGATGTTACCCAACTTGAATATGCTTTCAACTTTTGATTGCAATTGGGGCGCACTTGAGGACATAGTAAGCTCTGGATTTGCAGTTGTATTTGGCAGAAAATTGTTTCCCGATTGTTAGCAATTCACAAGTAAATGGTTAGCTATACTTATATATATAGACTTATATATATATATAGATTATATATATAGATTTTCCTAAGTTAAATTTTTTATCTCTGAATACTATTATTTGTTTTTTTATAAGTTATAAACATTTTTAAATTAAAGTATTATTAATTTTTATGTTCATTTGTCATCAATTGTATAATTACCTACCAAAAAATTATTTCTATATAAAATTCAAAATTTCTTTATTATTAAAATCTATTGTGAATAAAAGAATTTATAAACAAAATTCTAATTTAATATTAATAATGTTTTTAAAAATTAACTTTTGAGATTTAATTTTAGTTAATTTAATTTTTAAGCAACTAATTTTAACTTAGCCTAGTTTAAAAAAATCATTAACTTATCCAACGTGGCCTTTGACAGATGTTATTTAACAATCTGTCACAAAATGGCTGGTTACGTCAAGTCATTATGTCATAAATCTGATCATGTCAGAATCAGGCATAGACGTAAACCTCACATAATCTGAACAATCGTGTCAGTCATTCCATTGTCTTGTATATGACAAGCATTGCAGTGTTAATCAAAGATCGCTCGAAAAAACATACACTTTTATATCCGTGATCTTTTTCGGCGAATTTAAAAATGTAGGGTGTTTCTAAATAAGTGCAAAAAACGTTAGGAAATTATTCTTTGTCGAAAATTAAGGGAGTTTTTTTATTTAAAACATATATACATCTTCCTATATTTCTCCCTGAGCAGTTATACATTCTTTCAAAGGGAGAAAGATTTTTCCTCTGGATAAGTTAAAATAATTGAAATTTTATGGATATTTTCTACTAGTAAAAAGGATATGTATTTATTAATACTTTTTTAATCTTCCCGTATCGTTAAAATAAGGGTATGAAATCATAACAACTCTATTCAATTTTTTATTAGATTTTTGAACAGAATCGGCACCTAAAAATATGCGTTAGAAAGCTTGACTCCTTTACACATTTTTTATTTTTTTCTTGTTTTTGTAAAATCAATAGTTCCAAGAAAAAAAATAAAAACTTAATTTTCACTTTTTCCTTTAAAAAAGTGTAACTTCTCAGAGCGAGGGATATATGAAAACCCCCTTTAATTTTTGACAAAGAATTCATCTCTTAAAATTTTCTCACTTATTTATAGAAACACCCTTCTACATTAATTATTAAATAATATTTTAATTATATGTACACATATTGTTTAAAATATACATATAATATATATGATTTATTTAATTTAACTTTTTATTTATTTATGTATGTTTTTTATTGTCTAATAAGTGGCTGATATCTTGTTTATGCAAAGAAAAACATTTACATACAAGCTGCATGGAACACTGCAGAAATTTTCTCGTTTTACGCGTTAATATCTATATCTTCTATATATATAAGCACCGTCTGTCTGTATGTATGTACGCGAACTACTTCCGCATTTGTGGACCGATTTTCGTGAAACTGGTACCAAAATGTTGCAAATTTTTTGGGGGTGGCTGCTGTGGGGTTTTTTTTTTATTTTTTTATTTTTTTTTCTACAGAGGAGGGTATGTTTAATCTTTTTTTGCAATATTTCTGAACACATGGTATCAAAATGTTGCAAATTTTTTTGGAGATAACGACGATGCGGTTTTTTTAAGTGTTACACCCCCACCCACGCACCCACCCACGCATCCACCCACGCGCATGCGCATTTATGGACCAATTTTCACGAAATTAGTACCAAAATAAGGCAAATTTTTTTGAGAAAACTACTGGTTTATTTTTTTAAGTTTACCCCTCCACCCACCGTCTGTCTGTATGTATGTACGCGAACTACTTCCGCATTTGTGGACCGATTTTCGTGAAACTGGTACCAAAATGTTGCAAATTTTTTTGAGAAAACTACTGGTTTATTTTTTTAAGTTTACCCCTCCACCCACGCACCCACCCACGCAATCGTATATTTATGAACCGATTTTTTTTAAATTGGTACCTCTTCCGGCTCTTGCCCATCGAGCTTTCTGTTTTACTGCAAAAAATGATTATATTACATAATATTTATTTATAATATTATATTATTATATATAATATTGAGGAGGGAGAGGGAGGGAGAGAGAGAGAGAGAGAGAGAGAGAGAGAGAGAGAGAGAGAGAGAAAGAGAAAGAGGGATTAATTTAATCTATATATATAAGCACCGTCCGTCTGTCTGTCTGTCTGTCTGTGCCCGAACTACTTCCGCATTTGTGGACCGATTGTCTCGAAATTGGTACCAAAATGTTGCAAATTTTTCGGGGGTGGCTGCTGTGGGTTTTTTTTTTAATTTTTTTATTTTTATTTTTTTTCTTCAGAGGAGGGTATGTTTTTGCGAAAAAAAATTTTTTTTGCAATATTTCTGAACACATGGTATCAAAATGTTGCAAAATTTTTGGAGATAGCGACGATGCGGTTTTTTTAAGTGTAACACCTCCACCCACGCATCCACCCACGCATCCACCCACACGCATGCGCATTTATGGACCAATTTTCACGAAATTAGTACCAAAATGTTGCAAATTTTTCTGAGGAAACTGGTGTTTTATTTTTTTAAGTTTACGCCTCCACCCACGCAATCATCCACGCGCGTGCGCATTTATGGACCAATATTTTTACGAAATTGATACAAAAATGTTGCAAATTTTTTGGAGATGGCGACGATGCGGTTTTTTCAAGTG